TATTTTTTTATCTAGGGTTCCAAATATATTTGCATATTTATTTATTTATTTATTTATTCATTCATTTATATATTTACTTATTTACTTATTTATTTAAATTAGTTTCAAGTATACAATACATTGGTTAGACATTTATATAGTTTATAAAATAATCCCCCTAATTGTTCCTTCCCTCTTCTGGTTTTCCACCTAGCCAATATATTAACGCTAACTGCATTCCCTATGCCACGCTCCCCATCTCATGACCAGCATACAGGTTTTAATAGTACCTTTTGCCCCACATCCACTCTCCCCTCCCCCGCCCCCGGACCCCTCTCTCTCCCTATTTCTTCTATTCTAATAGTTGTTTCTCCTTTGTGATTTTGTTTGGTCAATTTGTTGTTTTATCTTTTTTTGTTTATTAAGCTCACTAGTCATTTGTCTGTTTTGTTAATTATAAAACACAGAATTTTGATTTATTAATTATACTTCTGATTTTCTATTCTCTAGTTCATTAACTTTAGTTTATGATCATTATTTCCTTCTTTAGAATTTACTCTCCTTTAGATTTACTCTACTGTTCTTTTTCTAGATTTTTGAATTGGGGATTTAATTAATTTATTTTAATTTATTGGTAAAAATGTTTAAGACAATGAATTTCCTTTTTATCACTGCCTATGTGTGTTCTACAGATTCAGATAGATAATATTTTTATCATTATTTTTATAGAAATCCTGTAATTTGTATTTGTCTTTCCCTTGTTACTTAAGACTTGCTTAAAAGAGGGTTTTTAAATTTCCAACTAGAAAGGCCCTTTTCAGTTTTGATTTTGTTTCGTTACTTGTTAAAGTGCTTTTTATATTTCTATTTTATAAAACACTTTTCTGTAAACTAATAATTGATCAATTTTTAAAACTATTTTATGCACTTGAGAAGAAAATGTAAATGCTATTAATCTGTCTTAGTGACTCTTTTCTCTTTCACATTCTAATTTTTAGCCACTTGACCTTTCTTGAGCTGAGAGTTGTATGTTAAAATCTCCTGTCTTATTAGTATGTTTCAGTTTATGTCTCCTTGCATCCTCTATAGTTTTTATTAAATGGCCTTAATGTTATCTGATGATTAGGTGTTTATAACTTTCATATGGCGCATTGCAAAGAGTTATTTTTAATGTTATATATATTTTCGCTTGAATTCTTCTTAGGTTGATATTAGGCTTATAGCCATGTTTCTTATTTTTTCTATTTCCCTGGAATACATTTGCTAATTCTCTTACTGTTAGTCTTTTTGAATCACTCTTCGATAAAGCATACAGGTGGGTTCTGTTTTGTGCTAAGCTGAAATTTTTTAAAGTAATTGATTTACAAGCCCATTCATATTTATTAAAATAATTAATATGTTTTCAATTCTATTATATTATTTTACATTATAATTATTATGTGCATTGCATTATATTTGCTTTGTTTCTTTATAGATTATTCTTCACTCTTTAAAAAAAATTATGACTTAAGAAGATTTTTACTTTTCATTTGAGTAGTGCCCTTAATCTTGTTTATTTGTCATTTCCTAGTAGATTTATTAGCTTTTAGTAGAATACTTTAGCTTTAAGTTATTGACTATACTAAAACAAATGAGCTTATTCTACTTTTTTCCTTCTCCATTTGGATCTAAATTATTTTAGAAGGAATCATTTTACTCTGCAAACTTCTTCCCACTTTCAGAATTAAAATATCAGTAGCCTTTAATTCATTTATAAATACTATTAGCACTGACTCTAAAATTAAAACTGTTTTTTTAAACTTACATTTAATAAAAAATAATAATGCATAAAATTGAATCGACATACTGAATAGCTTATATACAATAAAATATTGAAAAATCATGAATCATTGGGATGCTACTACAATTTTATTTTCCTTATGTCGTATTCTGCCAGAGGCGATACAGTCTGTTTCTGATTCTTTTTACATCACTGGAGGCTTCACATGATGCATTTTTCAGCAACTCCTCCTGAATATTTTGTGCATTAGTGTAGTTTTGCTTTAAGTGTATGATGTATAGATTTGCTTGCAGGTACTAGGTCTATTTCTGTTCTTATTCTTCTTTAAACTATATTTAAGTTCATAAATATAATCAAATTTAACTTTTGACCTGGAAATCTCCTGTAAAAGATACACTGATTTGACTGTCCTTTTTCAGTCTTTTGAAATTTTAAGATCTAGTTTAGGTAATTTATCCTTTTAAAGAGGCTTTTTCTTTCTTTCCTTTTTCTTTCTTTCTTTCTTTCTTTCTTTCTTTCTTTCTTTCTTTCTTTCTTTCTTTCTTTCTTTCTCTTCTTCTTTTTTTTCTTTTCTTTCTCTTTCTCTTTCTTTTCTTTCTCTTTCTCTTTCTTTCTTTCTTTCTTTCTTTCTTTCTTTCTTTCTTTCTTTCTTTCTTTCTCTTTCTCTTTCTCTTTCTCTTTCTCTTTTCCCTTCCCTTCCCTTCCCTTCCCTTCCCTTCCCTTCCCTACGTGAAATTATGTAGCCTAGTATTGCTTCTTATACCTCCAAAGAGAGAATGTTTAAATAGCCCACATTCTCTTTTTTCTGTTCCATCCTCTTGCTTATTTTCTCTCTGACATTTATAGTATACAATAGCATGTTTGTGGGCCTATTCATTGATATTTATTTCACAAATATTTATTGAGGCCTTCCTATGTGTGAAAACCTCTACTGGGCACCGGGAATAGAACTGTGAAGTGAATAAGATCACACTAGAAAGTGAAATTCCTGAAGGCAAGGAGACCATGTGAATGCACTCCTTGAAGACAAGACCTGGAGCCTTGTGCCACAGGAACTGCCTAGGCCTTGGGAGCTGTCTGGTGCTAATGTATGCTGGGAGCCTGAGTTCATGGGAGCCCACTGGAAGCCTGGTGCTATGGGAGCCGACTGGTGCCAGGGTGGATTAAGAACCTGAGATCACAGGAGCCTGCCAGGAGCCTGGAGCTATAGGAGCTGCCTGGGGTCACTGGGGAGCTGCAGAGGGTCTCTGGAGCCCACAGGCACAGGGTGACTTGGGGGCCTGGGTTTATAGAACCCTGCAGGGACCCCTGCAGGGCTGCAGGAGTTGGCCTGGTTCTGGGGTGGGCTGGCTCTGAGGTCTATGATGAAGTCAGGCACTTACTTCACTCCACTTTTCCCACAGAAAAGGTATTTCTCTCTGCAATGGACTGCCCAGGATTGGGAGACAGGAATGAGAATAGTGTGAATCTATCTTTCCTTCCCTCCTCAGTGTGTCTTTTCTTATTTATTTCTATGCTTCTCCCAGTTGCTGTAATCCCTTACCTGAAATTCTTGGCTCTGGTGAAAGTATTTTTGCATGCAGATTGTTCAAAATTATGGTTTTGAGTGGAAGATGAGTGCTAGAAATTCTTATGCCACCATTTGCTGATACCACTCTTCAAACCAACAATGTTATTTTAAATGCTTACCTTTATCATTAAATTTTACCAAATTCCTTATGCAATGCATATAATAATTATACTCATTTTATAAATGAGTATAATTTATAAATGAAGTCTGATCTGCTTTCTGTCAATATAGTTTGCATTTTCTAGTTTTATATAAATGGAATCACACAGTATGTATACTTCTGTCTTTTTTCACTCAGTTTAATTATTTTGAGATTCATCAACATTGTTGAGAATATGAATAGTTCATTTTTTTATTTGTCAAGTAGTACTCCATTATATGCATGTACTGTAATTTGTTTATCCAGCCACCTGTGAATAAACATTTCTAGGTTTTGGCTATTACTAATAAACCTTATATGCATGCTCACATACAAGTCTTCAAATGGACATATGTTTTTTTCTTGGGTACATAAAAATGGAAAGGCTTGATCAGATGATAGGTATATAACTTTTTAAGAATCTGAAGACGTGAGTTCTAAAGCAATTGCATGACTTTATATTCCTAAGAGGAGTATATGATGGATCCACAACAACTGTTGATGAAGTTCCTCCACAACTTCATCAACACTTTGTATAGTCATTTTCATTCTAGTCATTTTATTACTTGTATATTGGTATCTCGCAGTGTTTTTAATTTGCATTTCTGTAATGACTAATGATGTTGAACATCTTTTTATATTCTCACTTGCCATTTGTATATATTCTTTGAAGTCTCTGTTCAAATCTTCAGTATTTTTATTGCTTTTTTTTTAAAAAAAGCATTGTTGACCCTGTTGTTTTCAGTCTCAAATGAGAATATGTGCAGACTTATAAATGGTAAATCTCTCTAAAGTATTTATTACTATTGTTTTCTTTTGAGGAGGGAGGTATATTTGTATATGCTGTTAGGTAATATTTTTTTTTTAGGTCAACTAAGCCAGTAGGGAGGAGATCAAAATGTCAAAAAGCAAAAAGCAAATAAGAATAGAACTGACTCATTTTTTTTTTTGGTTATCAAGATTAATTTTATAGGTAAATATTTTGTTCTGTATAATCATTTATGTGGGCTGAATCTAGCTAGAGATAAAATTATGAATACTGTAAAATATTGCACAAGAATCACATCTATGTGATTGCTTAGATAAGTTCTTTATTTTAAAAGCTAATTACTTCTGTTAGTCTTTGTATTTATTCTTTATTTATGTAAAAAATCATGTAGTACAAATGACAATGATGTTAATTTTTTTTTATTTTTTGCATATTGTTTCAGGAAACAGGTAATTCTTCATTTTAATTTGAAGTTCTAGTGACCTAAGTCCTGTGGTTAAACAACTTTAAAAATTCCCAACTTGGTTCAATTCATTAACTTTAAAGTACCAAATGTATATTGAAGTCCCAAAGCTGTCGTCATGGACTTCGCTGCTTTTATAAATCGATTTATGAAAGAGATTTCCGTGAAGATCCAAGAGAAAAAGAGGTATTACTGTTCACAATCAAATTTCTAACATGCCTACAGTTTCAGCTCTGTTATGTGTCTATTAAATCATGCAGCCCTTCTCCACTCACTCTTGCACAATGCATGATGAGTATTTCAGTAAATTTTGTTTTCACATTGGCAAGTTGCCTTGCACTTTTCTTTGAGTAGTTCATGGTCACAGCCAGCTGTTGCCTTCAAGGAATCACAGTTACTAAGGAGATCTTCATACTCGCAACTATTGGCTGTAACAAAAGCAGATTAGTTATATCCTTATAATTTTCTTTAGTAGCGGCAAAATAATTTATACATTCAAAGTGCATAGGAGGGTGGATTGGACAAAAAGTCAAGTTTTCTTACTCTGTGATGGGCCTTTTACTTCTTGAGGGACATATAGTTTACTCAGTTGAGCTCACTGATTAATCCACCACTTTTTTTATTTTGAAAATGGTGATATGTTTCTAAAATGAATTGACCTACTTTTCTCCCTATCAAAGACAGTAAAATGAATATAAATAAATCTCTCTACACCTGCAGAGTCTAATATGAGAGCCACTAGCCACATGCAGCTATTTAAATTTAAATTATTCTAAATTAGATAAAATTAAAATTTTAGTTTCTTAATCTTACTAGCCACATTTCATGTGTTCAAAGGCCACATGTGATTAGTGGCTATTTTAAGGCAGATGCTAACAAAATATTTCCATCGTTTCATACTATTAGACAGCACTGCTTTAGATGTCAATGTTTTCTTCCTGGAGAAAGTGATTTCTATGGAAAGATAAAGATGCAAAACAGTGATAATGTGCCCTTTTTTCTTCTGATACTTCTTGGGTGTTCCCCAGGGGCCTTAAACTCAACAGATCTCAAACTAGACTCATACTACCCACAACTCTCACAATTCCTGAGTTTTGTCTCCCTGTATCCCTTCCACAATCTTAGTGAAATGGTTCTCCTACTCAGCACTTTAGACTGAATCAATCTGAACTCTTTTTCTACTTCTGACCAGCACTCAACCAGCACAGGTAATGAATACTGGCTATTCTACTTCTTTTCTCTCAACTCAGTACATTTCTCTTCCTTTATTTTGCCAGTGATGCAGTAAAGACATCCTTTTTGTTTTTCAACCCATATTTTTTCAAAGTTTTCTAGCTAGCTTCTGTCCAATTGTTTCTACATACTATTGCTAGCAAGCTTTTTATAAAACATGATTCTGACTCTGTCACTCTTACATTTAAACTCTTTCAATGGACTGCTTATCCCTAATAGGGTAAATTCCAAGCTTCTTAGCAAATAGCGTTCAGCAGAGATATTAATATTCAACTTTTTTCTCCTTTAGTTGATTTATAACTTTGATGCCATAAATATTCTGAATTATACCTATAGAATTCAGTCAGAAAGAATGTTAACTAAAAGTGAATGCATTTAAAAATCTCAGTGAATAGGCCAACTCTATTGTTCATAACTTTAAGAGAAGTATATCAACTAACAGAGGAAATAGCTATTCTTACATCTTTTTATGATGTGTTTAGAAATGATAAATATGACATTTGTTTCATTCTCTCCTTTTGTAGCAATATGTTTGTGGGTTCGATGACCCAATACTGTATACAGGTTGGATATTGTCATTAAAAACATGCATAAAACTACTTTCAAATTTTAAGGCAAATGATCATTAAGTCAAATGCTATGATTTCAATTACACTACAAAAAAGCATGGTAATCAGCATGATGAACTCATTAGCACAAAAGAAACATTGTTTGTCTGTCTAGACCAGCCATAATTTTATCTCACATCTGTATATTTCTACATTTCATTCTTTCAAAATACCTCCTTTGGTCTAATAATACTAACTTTGAACTAGTTACCAGAAACATGTATAGTTACTATTAGTAAGCTCTTCATAGTCCCACAAACATACTGACAACAGATGTTTCATTATGTTACATATAGTATTTTTCATTACAAAAACATGTAGATTATTAAAGTGTATAAAAAGATTAAACACATACACTGTTGAATAATCTCTTTTCTTTTGCATAAAGACATTTAAATTGGTAACTTAAGGAAATTTCTTAACATACAAAAAGAAAAAAATATCAATTTTTTATTATAATAGCAGGTTAATCACTTCAAACTTACTGCATAGTCCATTGTCACAGTTACCAGGGCAACTGGCACAGGGTATTCCTTGTTGGTAAGGGGTATTCTTTTTACTCACATTATTACCACTGAAATTTAAAATATATAATGTCAAATATTTTTCACTTGGCTGTTTAATTTATAGTTCAAGGGTAGCATCAGTCACCAAATATAGTTATTCAATTTTTCAGATATGTAACAAAACTGAAAAATTATAATTCTCAATGTGTGATTCAGATAAACTCCAAATTAAGAAAATAACTTTACACATTGACCCATCTCCTTGACTATAATTTTGCAGGTTGAATAACTAAATTGAATAACTAAACCCTAAAATTTTCAACACTATCTTCATCTCACAGTAGACTCAAATTGTTAAGTCAGTATACCCCAGTGTGCTGGCTAGGGGTAGAGCATGTTTCCTAGAGAGACAGGAGAAACTCCTGGGGGCAGGCAGTTGCAGTAAGAAAAAGAATACTCGATGTTACAATATCATCTTATATTTGAAAGATGATAAAATACCATAATTTCTCTAATATGGACTAAGGACAGTAAAACTACAGTATGAGTATTATATAGGTACACACACATACGCATAGACTTCTATATAGGAATAGTGATATTTAAGGAGTTAATGGTGTACGTGTATGGGGGCAGGGAGAGCTGGGGAAAGTTGGTGAGATTCTAGAGGCAGTGTGTGAGAAATTTTTGTTTATTAAACAAAGAATATTAGTTTTAAAAAAAGTTTCGAATAAACACCAATATCCAGGATATAATCACCTTACAAGAACTAACTGGTAACTCACTGATAATTATTATTGTATTGGTCATTTAATTAATTTGAAAATGCATGCAAGTGCAGATTTCAATAGTGTCAAGTGGGCTAATGGCCCAAGGCAATACATTTGAATTTCAGTCTCTCTACACAGAATATAGCTGTATGTATGTGAGCCCTTGGAAAATTGTAAAATAGATATAAAAGTGTTCTGAAAGTTTTCTCACCTCTGCTTCTCCTTATTATTCACTCCAATACTAATTTCAGATGCCTGGCTTCAGATGCCTACCCTCTCACAGCGAGGCAGTGAGTTTGGGTGTACTCTCTTAGGACTTTCCAATTCTTTCTACTAAACTCTAATAGATGCAAGTGGGAAAATGACTTTGGAAGTCAATCTTCTCAAAAAAGAGATCCATATCCCCAGGTTAACCATAATCTCAAAATAAATCCTGTGGGAGACTTTGGGGGCTCCCCTGCCTCTAGTCATAAGGAATTTCAAACACTAAAAAAATTAAGACTGACAGATATGTTGAGATTAGATCTTCAGTATATTCATAGGATTTATTGTAGACGACTTCAGACATTGCTTGACGAAACAGCATGTTTCCTGCTATAAATCAAGACCTTATGGATAAGTTGTTAATCGAGTTTTTTTTTGGTGTGAAAACTGTAGAGAAACAAAGACTTAAGATGTTAACTTTTTCTGAACTCTGAAATATATTAAAGATCTCTTGAAAAACCTTTGAATCTCAAAAGAATGGATTTTTAATGATAAAAATGTTGTTGTTTTTATATAAACAGGAGTGGGAACATTTTAGCAGAAAAGCCTGAAATCACAATTTGCCATCATCTATTTGCTAATCCACTACTACCCCTTGTATAACCATCAAGCTTCTACCCTCTTAGAGTGTGAAATTAGTGAAAACTGAAGATACCAAATCTAGAGAAATACACACTACACAAGCTCATGGAATAACCTTAAGCCCTAGGGAAAGGCAATAGAAAAGATATCACTTTATAATTGAAGAAAGAGAGCTTCAGATTTTATATTTGGACCTAAGAACTTGGTCTTTTCTTTGATAAGTTGAATGTATCTTACCTTAAAGAGCATTTTCAAAGATTTATGCCTTCTCTTCACTGAAATATTTTTTTTTGGCTTGTTTAATATATGAGATTTTTAAATATGAAATTGCAGATAGAATTATGGACATTCAACGCTAAAGTGCATACTTACGCAGGACAATATTGGCAAACATAGTAGTATTTTAGATTATCTTGATTGGGACAATAGGCAATTCCACATCCGACACGGTAAGATGAATACCAAACAACCTATAAATCCATAAGAGAATATATGAGTACATTGAGGAAAAAAAATTAAAAAACAAATAGCAAATAAAAACTTGAAAAAAAATGTTACTACTATAGTTTGTAGCTGTGTATCTAATGGAAATATTTAAATTATTGATACAAAGTCACAAACTTTTAAAATGTTAAAATTTCATGTACATTCACTACTTTATCCATTTATAATGTTGGAAAAGTACAAAATGCACTTCCCAACCAAGAGTTTTGCAGGCCATGGGAAAAAAATGATATTTCTACTTGAAGTATCAGCCAATTGCCAAGGCTCTATTATACCTACTCAGGCTCCTTTCCCCAAATTAAACACTAAAGTTGTTCATAATTTGGAGAAATTTTCTATATTAGAGCACTTGTAGCAGAAATATTTTTATTTGTTCTCTTTACCTGGGTATAATGTCCAACTACTGCACTGGAACTCTTTGGTCCTACGCCATAGACAAAATTGTGGCTCTCATCATACCAGTTTTGGATTGCATTTGACCAGGCAGTAGGGTCACTTGACATATAGAGATTCTCACCACATTTTGTACCTAAGATGGAACAGATCATGAGGAAAGCTGTAAAGCATGCAATAGCAAAAGAAATCAACTATACGAACACAAGAATGTTGCCTTTCATAGTGACTATATTTGCCAGTATTGATTAAATACATTAAAAAGGTGCTTCTATTTCTTCTCAGCTATAAAACTGAATAGAAGACAGATATGCTTAGCACAGTGAGGGTGGTCTCAACATGTAAAACTTTGAATAGGTTGAGAAGATCTTATTCTTTAAAAATTTTTTCCCTCGGGGTTGTCAAGATGCATTCTTTTTCATGCTAAATTCTTCACATGTACAATGCCTCATGTGCTCTCAGCTTTGTATTGTAAGCTTGGAAAGGCAGCAACCAACTTTTATTCTTTCTCTCCCCTTCTTTCCCATATTATGAGTTTTTTTTCACATATAGGACCCTGAATAAAATGTTTATGATTATAATTTTGTGTGAACTGTGGGGAAAAAAACTTTATAGGCAATCTTTAAGAACCCAATCATGACATTGGTTATTAAAATTATATAGATTTTAAGTGTAAAAAAAAGAACCCCAATCAAGCAACCGACATCAGGAGGGATGACAATTTTCAAAAATTTGGATCTTTTTAAATTCTACAAATCAGAATGTCACCAGGTCAAATACTCCTCAGAGAGTTAAGCAAAAAGGACCTTGCAGAGAGTGACATCAACAAGATGGTGGAGTAGGAATCCCTAGGCTTCCTTCCCTCAACAAACACACCAATTCAACAACAGTTCATGAACAAAATTGCCCTTGTGAGAAATCCAAAAGCTAATTGAAAGGCTCCCATACACTGGGAAAATATGAAACCAGACTCCCTTAAGCCTGTAGGGAGATTGGAATACCCTCTTGCTAGAAGCCTTATTCTCAGCACAGTGCCATATAATTAGGAAGAGACCTCCAAGCTCGCAGGTCCTCCCAGGGGAGGGAATGACTTGGTTCATTTGTTCAGCATCTCAACTTTTCCTAGGGGACTCTCCAGAGGGCTGGCTTCTGTCTTACTGGTCTTGGAGCTCTGAGTGTCAGGCTCAGGCTAGATACCCAAGGGAGAATGGATATGGTGGCTTGGACTGGTAGATACCATAATTGCTGCTTCTGGTTCAGCACAGAGCAAGCGAATACAAAAATAGCTCTCAGCTTCCCCCTTGGGAGGCAAAGAGTTGATCAGTGTCCAACGTTCCAGTTTCTCCAGGGCTATCCAAAGAACTGGCCTGTCTTGCCAGTCTTGGAGCTCTGATTGGTTTGGCACGGTCTTAGCCCCTGGGGGAGAGCAGAGAAGGTGCTTTGGTTTAGTAGATGCCATAGCTCTTCTTCCCAGCTCAGCACAGAGGAAGCAGACAAAAACCATAACTGCTTGCTTCTCTCTGGGAAGGGAAAAGGTTGGTAGTAATGCCACAAATTTCCAGAAGCTGCCCCAAAGACTGGCTTATAACTTTCCTGTCTGGGAATGCTAACAAGACCTAGCATAATCTAGCCTGGGGCTAGTGAAGACACAGGAATTTGGGCTGGCAGTTGCCATAGTCTCTCCCTCCCAGTCCAGCACAGAGTGAGCAAACAAAAAACCTCAGCTCCTAGACTCTCCCTGGGGAGGAAAAGAATTGTATGGAATGTCCAAAGTCCATCATTTCTGGGGGCTGCCTGAGGAATTAAGCATCTTTTTTGACCGCAATGGACTTGAATAGACATTTCTCCAAAGACCATGTAAAAATGGCCAACAGGTATATGAAAAGATAATCATCAGGGAAATGCAAATCAGAATTACGATGAGGTACTATCTTACACCTGTCAGGATATCTATTATAAAACAAACAAACAAATGAACAAAAAACCAGACAACAAATGATTATGAGAATGTGGAGTACTAGGTAAAATCCTAGTACACTGTTGGAGACGATGCAAAATGGTGTAGCTGCTATGGAAAACACTAAAGAGGTTCCTCAAAAAATTAAAAATAGAACTACCAAATGGCCCAGCGATTTCACTTCTGAGCATTATACAAAAGAATTGAGCATTATACAAAAGAATTGAAATCAGGATCTTGAAGAGATATTAGCAAACTGATGTTCATTGCAGCAGTATCCACAATAGCCAAGATGTAGGAACAACCAAATGTCCACCAACAGATGAATGAATAAGCAGAATGTGATATATACATTCAATGGTATATTAGTCATCCTTAATAAAGGAAGAAATTTTGCAACATGTGATATGGATGAACCTTTATGATGTTATGCTAAGTGAAATAAGTCATAGAAAGAAAGCTACTGCATGATTCCACTTTTGTGAAGTATCTAAAATAGTCACATTTACAGAATTAAAGAGTGGAATGGCTGGGAGGAAGGAGAAATCGGAAGTTGCTAATCAATGGCAAAAAAATCAGGTAAGTATGATGAACAAGCTCTTCTTGTACAGTAGAGATCTTCTGTACAACATTGTACCTATAGTGTATTACACACTTAAACACTTGTTAAGAGGGTAGATCTCATGTTGTGTTCTTAAACAACAGCATTAAATAAAAAAATAATAAAGAAGCGCCTTGTACCCCAGGAACTTTTCCCTATATTTTTCAAGCCCTCTCTTAGTACTTACATTTTGATGGCTTGAAATTTATTATTTCCTTTAATAAGGAAGAATAAAAACTAAGCATCTAACAGTAGACTTGGATCTTTAAGACCATTTGTTTCAATCTTCTACTGAATACAGTCAACTCTCTTCATGATTTTATTATAACATTAGCATCAACAACATAAAGAATAATAGTTCTACTGAAATCACAGGTAAATTATCCATTACCTTCAAATCAAGCTTATCTATATGTATATCATGTTTGATAATGTAAATAAATATTTTATGTAAAGTTTATGCATACAAATGTTTTTCCTCATAGCTTTTTGATCCTTGATATGTTCTTATGACATGTTTTTGAATTTATTATTCTATACATTATAAGCACATAGTCTACATAAAATACTTTTCTGCTATAAAAATTTTTTACCCCAAATATTCATCCTGATTAAAAGTTAAATATTTTTAGAGCAAAGTTTAGGAACAACTCAACATAATTCAATATATTTTATAAATACAAAATAAATAGATTTCAGAACACCAAATGGCTATACAATATCACAAAAGGGCAGTGAGTTAGAAATCAGAAAGCCTTGTTATCTTTCCAATATATGTTAGTACTTCAGGTTGTATTCTTGGTTAAGTCTTTCCTCCCATGTTCTAGTTTTCTAATTTTTAAAACTTGGAAAATGGTGATGCATGACCTGTTTACTCATGAGCTGGTTGAGAGGAACAAATGAGATACTGCTTGAGAAACTGTGTAGCATAAACAATCAACACACATAAAATTGCACTTATCATAATTATCTCTCTATATACAGTGATTTCAAAAAGACAAAAGTATAAGCAACATTTATTCAAAATGTCTTCTTAATGCAACACCCTAGAATGGTCTGTTCTATTTTATTTTCCAGTGTTACTTTATTTGTTCATTTGTTCAATAAATATTTACTAATTTACATACTAGTTTTTCGGTCTTCTGCACTACTGTGTTCTAAAGTGCACTTGTTTGCCCACTTTTGGGCATTTGCTGTTGCTTCTCTGCTCCATTCCTAAATGTCAGAAGAAAAAAAATACACTTAAAAATTCAACTTCAACAAAGCATTTGCATTATAATCTGATTGGTAGATTGATTTGCACTCCTTTAAAACTTCTGTAAATATATTATCTGTCACTGGTATTAAAATATCTTCTTTTTTCTTTTTTTTGGTGTGTCTTTCTCCACCCAATGCCAGTTTCAATGAGAAGATAGTCCATAGGTAATGTGTCTAATGAGAGAAATATCTAATACAATAATATCTGACTATTTATGATAGCACAGAAGCCACACCTAGGATTTTTAGTAATGATGCTACTCTAAATACTGATCAACATCTCAAGTATTATATTTCAATAGTAATAAGCAGACCTACATTATTTCCAATTCCATTTGCAGCCCATTGCATTCCTATGGTAGATATTTGTTTTTTAGGGACTATGCCCTGGAAATTGGGCTATTTACCCTAAATGGCACTTATCTTGAAGGAAAGAGGATTTCTTTCTTTTAGACTAGGAAGGATAGTGAACAAAAAATATAACAGCTTCATATTTAACGTCTGAAGATTTAGCTTCTAATTCTGCCTTCTCAACTTAATAGGCCTGTAATTTTGACAAGTTATTTAACCATAACCATTATAAAGGAAAATTGAGAACTTATGCTCTGCTCATGACACAGTTCAAATGAAATAGTAAAATAGAGGCAGAACTTTCCAAGCCACAAAGCACTTATGAGATGCCAGTTACCAGCTGCCTGCTCATACCACCACTGGTTCACACCACTTTCTTGATATTACTCCCTCTTACCATCTTTAGCATGTTGCTGGCAGGTGGAGAGACTGATTTCCTTAGTTCATTGTGTTTATTTACAATCTCTCTTTGGACTTGTGATTGAGTGGTTAACAAAGCAGTAAAGGCTGGATCCTAAAAAGAAATAAAGTTGAAGTATTTTTTAACATTTTTGAAAATTGCATACGAGAGTAAGTTAATTCAAGGGAACAAAGATCACTTTAAAAAGTGTTCAGTTCAAGCCAATATTAGTTAAGCATTGCCAAAAATTAAGCATTGACAAACAGTAAAGAAGTAATTTGAAGATTTGAGAATGCAGATGTAATTCATGGCATGACAAATTAAAAAATCCTTTGAGGCCACAAATGCCAATTTCCAGTTTCAAGGGAACTTTTAATATGACATATGAATGGTAATATTTTATAATAAAAATGTTGGATAATAAGAACATTAAAACGTATTTATTCTTATTTAATAAGGTTGCAGCAGGAGGAATAAGGGTAGAGCTCAAGATTCATCCTAAACTTTAATGAGAACTTTGACCTGACATGGTATCTGTATTTAGAGAAAGAATGTATTTAAAATGAATTAAGAAAATAATGTTTAGGCCCAGTAAAAGTGCATTCAATATTCTAGAAAAATTACTCTACTTATCGTGGGTGGATTTTATGGAGCCACTCAAAAAACAATTTTACAATATTAAACAAATCTCCAAAACAGTATGAGGAGAGCAAAGCCATCTAATTAATGGACTAGTGCTGACTTTGTTCCTTTTAGTAACAAATATATAATTAAGGTATTAAACAAGGTGCTGATATTTTTGGTTTAACCTTTGTGTGTATGTGGGGGCGTCTAAATCTGGAGGCAGAGTAATTTGAAATTATGAAATTATCAAATTATGAAATTTGATGACCTAAATTTACAATTGTCCAAAATAATATTTCATCATGTATTCAATATAAAAATTATTAATGAGATCTTTTCCTTTTCTTTTGAAATCTGGTGTGTATTTTACACCTACAGTACATCTTGTTTTTGACAAGCCACATTTCAAGGGTTCAGTGGCCAATGTGCCTCATTACTACTATACTGGATAGCTCAGCCTTAGACTTTCATCTAGATAATGATGTTAATTGCTCTACGCTATCAATGAGTGCTTTGTATTACCAGACACTCTTACTCTTTCTGCTCTCAAAGTGCCTTGCCATCCCACAAAGTTGCCTGGATAGCTCTGGAAAAATTTCCCACCTTTAACTTTACCTTTCCTTCTGTGGGTGAAGATAGAAATAGCACAGCAACCAGAAATACCACTCCTGGGAGTAAAGCCATTGCTGGGAGGTAAGTCAAAGAGAACAAAGGTCTGCATTAAAATATGTTATACATGGACTAAGAGGGAAAAATCAATGAAATGATCATGGTTATCTCAAAGGAACTGTGATTCCTAATTTATAACATAACAGGAAAAGAGTGTCATATAGTTCCAGTAGGATCATGGTAGAAACAACCTTGTCTCTGATAGGGACAAGAAAATATAAACTGAAGAACCTGACCAATGCCCTTGAAATATATATATTCAAGTATATATATATATTCAAATTATCATACTTTTATATTTTTCTATTACAGTTCTAGTGTGTTTCAAAGTCATAAACATGGGAATATTTATATTATCTATTTTAGAAGGAAATGTAAAGAATTTATTTAAGTTTCAATTTGATATAGTGAGTAAAAGAGTAAAATTAATAAGATAATTCTTTCAATAAAAAGTAGTTTTGAAGATCATGGATAGATTTATTAAAAATATTTTACCATTGGTGAAAAATATGTTCACATTAAAATAAATGAGTTATCACTTACTGTTGGTTCTCAGAGCAGGATGAAATATCTGTTTTATTTCTAGGAAGAAGGAAGGTGAAAAGAAGTTTAGAGCACAATATGTATTACACTTATTTCTGTTTTAGCAAATTCTGGTTGTGTAAATAAACCTCTGAAATAGAATTTTTTATCCCATTATCTTCAAATTTCATTGCCAGTTGTCTAATATTGTTTTTGACATCATTCGGTTCCAAGATAGCTTTTAACATAAGTAAAGTTTGCCCTCCTTCCCTAACTAGCCCTCTCCTCTTTTAAGGCACATTAAAATCTGTATACTGCCTTTTTGGCCTTTTTGGTGTTTTTTTAATAACCACTGAAGACTGGCTGATCACCATGAAGGTAACCAGGGTCCCAACCTACAGATAAACTCCTGTGGCTCTGCTTTCTATGATGCTTGATTCCCAGTTACCAAACTTCTGTAGCTTATTGGTTAAGAGCATAGCCTTTGGAAACTTCAGTTCTGGGAAATCCTCTCAGATATTCAATTTTCTCTTCTGTAAAATGTGGATTATCATATCATGGGTTTGCTTTGAAAACTGAAAGGTATAATATGCATAAAACATCTATTACAATGCCTGGCATATAATAATAAATAAAAATTATTAATATTTTTATTATCTTTTGCAACATGTGGTAGTTTTGGAGTTCATAAGATCATTCCATAAATGCATGTTGTTTGATTGAATTGCTAATTCTAGAAGTGTTTATAAGAACTGTTGTTACTTCCAGGTGTTATAGGAAAAAAAAATCAGTATACTCAAAGATTCAAATGTTTAAAGGCCAGTTCTAGTAGAGATCTTCTGGCTAGCTTTAGAAAAATGATGTACCCTGGCTGTCGTACCCTCATCAGCTCATTAAAAGGCATATACATGGGCCTGAAAATTTGTATAGCTTATTCAGTAGGTCTGCATTAGATGACCCACAATTTCATAATTCAAAAGACCATTATGCCACATACTCCTCCATCCTACTCTCCTCTCCCCTCCCCACTCACCCAACCTATAATTATCTTTGTTGCAACAATGAAAATGATAACAGTTTTGATGAGAATATATTCAAAGAAAAAAATGATCATATTTTATTCATTTAAACCTATATTCATACATAGTTGAAAAGCTGGCTACCATTTTTTCCCTTGCTACTTACTAATACAAAAGTACTGTGCCCTTTCTTGCAGGTGTTTTAAAACCAGGATAACATGGTTCTCCTAGAGTGTCTATAGGAAGAGCATGGTGTATGGTTTCATAATCCTAGAAAAGGGAAAAGAAGATATTTAAAATAAAAATGTGAAGGATAGGTTGAAAATAATGTCTGTCACAAACTTAAAACTTGACTCTAATATTTTATTTGTTCTCTAATACTTTATTTCAACTCACCATTAAGACCATAATTCCCTTCTAAGATCAGATTGTTTTGATGTCCTGGTATTTCATTTGGACACTAGCAAAGAAGTGGGCTTCTTAAAGAAGTTCGCTTTATTTGTTGACTTACTGCCTTGGAATGTCATAACATATTTTCAAGACTCCCAATTCCTCATCCAGGCCTTTAACCCACACAGTTCTTTAGAAGATAATTTCCGTGAGTAGTTATCCACATAGTGAGTATTTACTACAAGGATCTGGGATCACACCTCTTTCTCTTTATGTCTTTTTCTAGAAGCCAGTAGATGACACAAGTCTAGAAGATTCGACACCCACAATTCTAATCGTTTTAATATACAATTTCTAATAACTGCATTCAAAACATAAGCAGCTAAAATTTTTAATTTAACCTCATAAGAGGCCAGATTTAGACATGACTTCAGCCTTCTGCTATGACTCAGAGCTTTTCATGTAAATAGAATGATTTATCTTTTAAGATAGGTAAAGAGTTTCAATAGGATAAACGTAGAGAGGCATGGTCAACGGTTGGTGGATCCACATTAAGCAACCCAAGGAAACACTCTATCTCTCTGCACTGAATCAGAGGATGATGTGCAGAGTGCCAGAAGCACATGGTTATCAGAATGCCCCTCTGCTCATAGATCTTTCTCTCCCCTGTCTTCACCCACCTCTCCGGCCCTGGTCATTTCGTTTCCCAGTCTGCTCTAATTCTTACCCTGACTCCAGAGCCCAGATCTTTCCGCGTTAGGGCGGGAGCCAGAGACTGGCTGCAGCTCATCCCTCCTACAGTGTGTGTGAAATACCCAGCCATCTGCGCACGCCCGCAACGTCATAGAGTTTTATGCCATCAGCGCAGACAGCGGATAACTGAATTCTTCCTGCAACTTTTCCATCACCCTCTAGGGCTGCACCAGAGAAAATCTTACACATTTTCCCTTTGTGAAAAGCAGAGTACTGCTTACTCTCATTACCATCACTTGATGAGGAAGGTAAATGTCTGCTCAAACACTTGAAAAGTATGAAGGAAGATGGAGATAGTATCAGGACCCGAAATGCTCAGAAGGTGGCCGAAAAAGAGGCATTCCTTTACAGACAAGATCTGAGTTAACGCGGGTCGGATTTTAAAGAGCGGATTGAAGAAGTCCATAGATACTTAAGTTTTCAGTTCAACACCAGTGGGGTGCCAACAGTGAACTCGGGGTTACATAAAGTTGGCATTTTGCAGGTTTGCTCATAAGCGCTTCGCGTTCTTGCCTTTCTTCTTCTTTCCATAATAGTTTTGTGGTTAGGAAATTCAAAAAGAATAACAAAAACAAGCCTTAGAAGAATGCCCAGAATTCCTGATCCAAGGCTACTGGCTTCAAGATTGGCAGGTGTATCCAGGGTTGGTTGAAGATGTGTTGACTCTCTTTACACAGGGCAGATGAATAATTGATGTGTTTTCTTTTGTGCTGGGTTGTTTTCAAGATTTAAAGGAATGGATTAATTCATTAGCTAGAGGACAGATTAGGTTAAAAATGTCAAACCAAGAGTTAACATCAATCACACACTAGTGCTGTATACCCCAAGCAAAGACGCTTGAAATTTCTCATTCCAAACCTTGAGACTCATCTAGGAACAGCTGTAACTATAACTAACTGCCATGTTTCATGGTGCTGAGTGCCATTTTCCCTTAGCAGTGTTAAAAGTCCAAGTGACCAATGCACAAATGTTTTAGTTTTCCTGTACTGTTATTTCAGTTCAACTACCACTGACTAAAAAAATCTTGGAATTTAAAAGTCATCCTAGACTGCTTTACTCTTATGGTTACAACCAAAGTCAACTCTTGACAGTTTGCTTTTCTAATTATTTATGAAATATATTCCCAGATCTCTCTTTCTCACTACTATATTTATGTTTTCATCATATCTTGCTTAGATTATTAATTTAACATTTTTAATATTTATATCCACAAAATTACCGCTCACCCTTTTATAATTTATTTGGTACATTTCATCTTTCTTTAGGGCAAAACAATTCATTGTTATCCTATAGTAGTCTATAATTTACTGCGAATATTCCTATTTTTCATTCTTGGAGACACCATATCTGTAATTATTACTTGCTCCCACGGATTATGTCAGAATGAGAGCAATTTGAGTATTGTAGTAATAGATATTGTTAGTAAACATGTATTTGAGAAATTGACAATATCTCTCCTGATGATTGCTATAGCTCCAAATTCTAGAACAATACTAGTTACATAGGTGGCAGTTTGTAAATATTAGCTGAGTGAATAAATATTGACATGGCTTAGATTCTTAGGGAGTGAAGAGAAAAGAACACATCATTTCTTTCCTCTAAGACTTATAGCACTGTGGGAAAGATATATACATATGAACATAACCAGGTAGTGCAGTTTAGTGCTAAGTAGTTGGAAAAGAAAATATATACAGCAATTGGGAGTTCTGTGACTTGATATTATTTGGGTAAAACCTAGATGGTAGAGTAACATTTGAACTGCTTTGAAAAATATATATGACTTGATCAGAAAGGAAAAAAAGAGTTTGTACACTTCGTTAGAAGAGCAGAAACAGACAAATCAATGTCTCACAAAGGCATATTTAAGTCATTATAATAGGCCTTTGAAAATGTTGGGGAAGCTTTGCATAGAAGTCTAAGGAGATTTGCTTTTCTTGTATAACGTAGGAAAGTAATTTCACTGATGTTCAGAGAATTGAGAAATTATGTGATCAAATATTATTTCATGAAAGCTACCGATAGCACTCTGCAGGATGTTTTGTGGAGCTGAGAAATTGGTGACAGGAAAAATAAAAGTGTGGTAACATTTCCCATCTTAATTTTAGAATAATAGAAACAGGAAAAAAGGTTGGACGTGAAAAGATAAACAAATGGTGTTGATGATGGACGTAATATGGAAGCTGAGTCCAGAATAAAAGAAAGTTTGTAAATTTAGAGTCTACACGTATTGGAGAGTACATGGAAAGTACATCTTCATTATTGAGAGGGAGTACAGGTATTTCTAAATATTCTTGTAAAATCAGAAGTTCTCAATGTGCTGAGCTGAAAGGAGTAGAGTTCAAGATGCCTGAGAGTTGAAAGGACTGGGTTCTTGCATGGACTTTGATGAGAAATCCACTGTAATTCTTGTCCTGTTCCTTTACGTGTAAGATATTCTTTGTTCTACCCTGTAATTTTGTGACCTTGCTAAACTTACTTATTTGTTCTAGTAGCTTTCCTATACATTCATTTGGATTTTTTTACAAAAAGATCATTTTAATCTGCAAGTAGTTTTTACCTTTCTAATTTATAGATTAACTTCTTTTATTTTATTGCATTGGTTGTAAACTTAAAATGTGAACAAAGTGGTACAAATTGAACCCCTGCCTTATTTCTGACAGTGGATTCCAGATCAAAAAGTACTACAATAGTGTTTTTACCTATAAAGTAATACAAAGAGAAAGTATTTGGTCATTCAGTAAGTATAAGCTTAGTTAAGTATAAGGAGGGTTTTGTAATGTATTCCTTATTAAGATAGGTAGTTACCTTCTATTCCTAATTTTCTGAAAATTGTTTCCACTAAGGGTGCTAAATTTTGTCAAGTGCATTTTTTTCATCTTTTGTGATGATTATGTCTTTATGCTATTAATATGGCATGCCACATTAATTTATTTTTGAATGCTGAAACATCCTTTTATTCCTGTGGTAACCTTCCTTTGTCATGGTGTATAATCATTTTTATATGTTGCATTTATGTTCATGAGAAATAATAGTCTGCAGTTTTCTTTTCTTATAATGTCTTTGGCATAAGATAATATTAACCTGAGTTGAGAAATAGTTCTCTTGTTTTCTGTCATGATATAAACAAAAAATCCTGAAATTATTTGTACATAGATATTATATTTATGTAAATACACACACATCTATAACCCAGTGCAATTTAACTCTCTCTCTCTTCTAGTCAATAATCTCTTAACTGGTTTTTTGTTTCAGTCTTGTCCTTTTACAATTTAAAATTCATCCCATTGTTTACTTATAATATCCCAATTCTTTACCTGCCCTAGAAGGTGCCATGGGACTAATTTTTTGTCTGACTCCTTTTTAAAATTATTTAAAAAATTATTTTACTCACTCTGCTCTAGCCATTCTAGGCTTCTTGCTTTTTCTTAAAGATCCCAAGTTTGTTCCTACCTCATTGGCTTTGTACTCGCTATTCTCTTTGTCTGAAAGTTTCTTGATCATTAAATTTATTGGTTTTCTCGCTTTTTAGTGTGTTCCTAATCCAATTCCATCACCTCAGAGAGAATTTACCTATCCCATTTAAATTAACATTTTTCCCTCTCAGCCTATCCTCATTATTTTCTATCCTCCTGCCCATTTTAGTTCTTAGCACTTGTCACTTCCAACATTGTGTTAGGATTTATTTGCAAAATGCATAGTTTTCTTTCTCTCTCCTCTACTGGAGTGTGAACTCCATGAAGTCTGGAACTTGGGCTATCTTGTCAATTACTCTATTTCAAAGTACCTAATTAAATACCTGAGTCATAATTGTTTTCAATGTAATTTGTTGAATGCAGGATTGAAGAATATTACACATTGTGATGATTGCTGTGAAAGGAAGTATAGAGAGCTACAAGAGGGAATAGGGGTATGTCCTTCAGATTATTTACTCAGAGGAATCTCTTGGATAAAATGGCATTTAATGTGAAAAAGCTATTCTAGCAAATACTAGGAAGATGACTCTTCCAGACAGAGCTAATAGCAAAAACAAATACCCTGAGCTTGGGAGAATTTAATAAAATCATTGTAGTTGAAGCATAAAAAATAAGGGAGAGTGGAATGAAGTGAAATTAGATAGGAAAGTATAAAAAAGATCATTCAGTTGCTTGCAGGTCAGTTTAAGAGTGTGGATATTATCCTAAGTACTTGAGAAATCTATGGAAAGCTTTTGAAAGTAGATTAGTTAGGATTAGTCTATCTCTTTCGAGATTAAAAAATGTGTCAGATGGTTACCAGATTTATCTGGGTGATCATTTCATAGGTTATGTAAATGTCTAATCACTGTGTTGTACACCTGAAACTAATACTATATGCCAACTTTAATTGATAAAAATAAAAATATAAAAATTTAAAAAAAGAAAAAAGAAATGTGCTGCAAAGGCAACATCTGGGAGTCACATTCGTGGTCTTGAACCTGTCCCGGTCTTACCTTTGCCTCATGACTACTCATATCCTTGAAATTATTAGTGATGCTTGACACTGGATAAGGATGTGAGTCTGATCTGACAATCCAATTGTTGGTATTATCTGAAAGCCCTTAAAAAAGACAAACATTTAGCAATGGAATAGAGAAATTCAAACTTGGGTGAGGTAGGAAATCTGAGAAAGAATAACTGGATCATCTAGAGAAAAAGTATGAAGTGTCATGGAGCCATGAAAACAGGATTTTCTTTTTTTTTTTAATGCATTTTTTTATTCTGAAGTAGTTTTAGATTTACAGAAATTTTGCTGAGATAATACAGAGAATTTCCATGTACTCTGTACCCAGTTTCAGTTTCCCCTAATGTTATCACCTTACATTACCCCGATACATTTGTCAAGACTAAGAAATCAACATTACTATTAAAACACTCCAGACTCTGTTCCAATTTCACTGATTTTTCTACTAATGACCTTTATCTGCTCTAGGATCCAATTCAGGATACCACATCTTATTTAGTTCTCGTCTGCTTAATCTCCTCTGGTCTGTAACAATTTCTCAGAATTTCCTTATTGCTCATGATTTTGACAGTTTTGAGGAGTCCTGGTCAGAGATATTTTGTAGAATGTCTCTTAGTTTAGGTTTGTTTGACATTTTATCCCTTAACAACATTTGGGTCACAAAGTTTTGGAAGTAATACCATGGAAATGAAATGCCCTTTTATCATCTTATATAAAGATATACGTGAGTCCACAAGACTTATTATAGGTAATGTTAACTGTGATAACTTGGTTAAGATGGCATTTGCCAGATTTCTCTACTGAAAAGTTACTATTGTTCTCTTTTCATATTTTACACTTTGGATATGAGCAACTAAGTTCAGCCCAGACTCAAAAGGAAGGGGTCTAAGTTTTATCTCTTGGTAGAAAGAGTATTTACATTTACTATATTAAGATTTGTCTATGCCAACATAGGTTTTAAAAAGGAAGGCATGGTCATATTCTATTGTACAATTTATGCAGATGAAGAATGAAAAGTCTTCATTGATTTTTGGAAAATTGAAGGTTGGAGTTACCTTGGGAAGAAAAAAATAATATAATTATAAGGATGGAAGCTAAATAAGTGAGAAGAGGGAGGAATTAAAGCCTGCATATATTAATACTTCTTTAAAGATATTTAGCTATTAAGTGAACCTAGGAAGGAAGACTATAGTCCAGGATTCATGTGACGATGACATCAAGTTCCATACTTTTTGTACATTTTGTTCTAGGAACATGATTCTCAATTTCAATTCAGATTTCTAGTGACCTTAGTCATAAGAGACTTTCATATAACTTTCAGAATCTCCATATTTATATCAAAATCCAAAGTTGTTACCTTTTAACCCTTTGTATGAAAGAGATTTCTGTAAAATAAAAAGCAGATCCAAGAGAAAAAGATGTTACTATTTGGAATCAAATTTCTAGCTAGCATGTCTATGATTTCCTTGCTAATAAAAGTCAAGTGTAAGTTGATGATGTGGCTTTCCTCTACTTAGCCATGTTCAGTATGTATTGGTCATTTAATAAATTTTGTTTGAACAATTGCAGGAAGCCTTGCAACTATTCTTGGTGAGAGCATGTTCACATCCCAGTTGATTTTTCAACTGCTCACAGTTACTGTAAACATCTTCATATTCGCAACTATTGGCTGAAATGAAAACAAAGAAATTAGGCACTTCATTATCATTTTCCTTCATAGCAGCAACACAAAGAATAAATTCAATGTGAATGAAGAGTAGGGAATACAGCAAACAAGTTGGCATTCTTCATTACACTATGATGGCCATTTCACATCTTGAGGGATACATAAGGTTCCTTAGTTAAATTCACTGATTAAGCTATCATTTTAAATTTTGAGCTTTTCCAAATATTTCTAAAATGACTGACTTATTTCCTTCCCTCAGAAAAGAGAGTAAAATGAATTTAACTGAATCTCTCTGGAACTTCACTATCCAAAAGCCGTTAGCTATGAGGTTGTTCACATTTAAACTTAAATTAATTAAAACAAAAGACCGTTGAAATTTCAGGTCCTCAGTGATACTAGTTATATTGCAAGTGCTAAACAGCCAATGTGTCTATATGGGCTACTTTACAGGACAGTGCAAATATTGAACATTTCCATCATTGCAAAAAGTTATATTGGACACTGTTGCCACTAGACTCTAATGCCATTAATCTTTCTTTCAGAAGTAAGAAGTCATTATGAAAAAGTGCGGATTTAAAAAGTAAAAGTAGGAGGGAATTTCACTATAACTATTGGACATTTCCACCTGGATGTCCCTCAGTGGTTATAAACTCAAGAAATCTCAAACTAAATTTATCATCCTACCTATAAGCTTGGCACTTCTTTGGAATCCCTCCCCAACTCCCAACTTGATTCACTAAATCTCAAAGAAATGGCACTCCCAACTACTAAGTTATTAAAACCAGGCATTGGGAATGAACCTGAACTCTATCCCCTCTACTTTTTGTCAGTGCTTAATAAAAACAAGTAATAAACACTGGCTATTCTACTTTCTTCCTATCTCTTATAAACTATTTCTCTTCTTTCACTTTGTCCTAATGCAAAAAAGACATCGATTTGTTATTGAACCCATGTTTTTTCAAGTCTCCAAGCTAGCTTTGATCCATTTGTTTTTTCATACTACTGTCAAGAGCTCTTTATAAAACACAGGTCTGATCTCATCACTCTTCTGTTTAGAATCTTTCGATTGGCTACTCATTACTAATAGGATAAATTCCAAACTCCTTAATAAATAATATTCAGCAGAGGTATAAGTATTTTCTTTTTTAGCTAATTTATAGCTTTTATATAATCTCAATATTCTATATTATGGCTATACATTTCACTCAAAAAATGCTACGATTCAGTCAAGTGAATGCATTCGAAAGGCAAAAATTTAAGTTAATGGATCATTTTTATTGTTCACAATTTTAGTAATACAACCCAACTAAACAAAAATACCAACTTTTTGTACCTCAATTCATAGCAATGCTGGAAATGAGATATTATATGACATTAATTTTATTCTCTTCTGCTAAAATAGTTTTGAGACTTCTGTGAGCTAATGATACTATATGCAGATTTGATAGACATTTAAAGAGAACAAAAAGTCACTAGCAAAAAAAAGTGTATGTGGTTATTAAATTAAACTTGATGATTCTAACTATACTATGAGGAAAATGAGGAATTTAGTATGTTATAAAAAATTATATTTGCTGTGCCTGTCCAGAATTGAGCCATATTCTACAGTCTCACACCTTTATATCTTCTTTTCAAGATGCCACTTTTGTTATAATGGCATTAATTTGGGTGAAAAGAAAATTCACATTTAATTAAAATAAATTAGGTTACAGGTGGTAACAGGCTTTCATTGCAAATAATACATGAATACTGAATAGTGTAAATTTTTGCTTAAATGCATTCTGTTAAAAAAATTTTATTATTGTTTTTTATATGAAAGCATTGCTTAAGCTGGTTCAGAAGATTGTCTAATTTCTAAACAAAAATGTTAGGTCATTTTGTTATACTAGCAAGTTAATGACTTCAAACTTACTGCATAGTCCATTGTCACAGTGATCAGGGCAGCTGGCACAAGGTTTTCCGTTCTGGTACGGCGTATTTTTTTTGTTACTAATGTTTCCACTGAAATTTGAAATACAACATGTCAAATGTTTTTCATTTTTCAGTTTAGTTTATGCTCCAAGAGTAACATTGATCACTGTATATACTTGAATATTTATTCATTGATTTTAATCATATTGACTGAAAAACTAATATTGCCAGTGTGTACTCAAATACCAATGCAAAGTAATCTAACAATTAACACATACACTCACTTCCTTGACCATGATCTCACAACCTGAGAAACTGAAATGGGATTCACAGAATCTAAAGTTTTCAGGGTATATTTCTGTATGATAACACTCTTCATCTCTCAGTAGACTCAGTGAAATTCCTAAGTCAGTGCACCCCAAGGTGCTGGCTAGGGGTAAAACATATCTCCTAGAGAGACAGAAGAAGCTCCTGTGGGGATAGAGGGTTACAGTATGGAAAACACTTACTGTTAAATGTAATTTTATATTTTAAAAGGAAGCTATAATTATTAATAATTTGTATAATATAAACTGGAGAAAGTAAAGCTCTAGGATAATTTTTAGCTTCAAGATGCAGGGTGGCGATATTTTCAAGTAGTTTGGGGGGTAGATATATTAGGAAAGATTTTGACTATAGAGATTTTGTGTGTGAGATTTTTATGTTTCCAAAAAATGAGAATGTTATTTAGAATAAAAAGGTTTAATTGACATTAATCTCTAATGTATATTGGTCTTAACAGTGACTAGCCTGTACCTCATTGATGACTATTATCCTATTGGCTACTATTTGAAAATAAAAGGGAGTCAAAGCTTCACTTGGACCTAGTGAGCCCCAGACCCAAGGCAAAGTATCTGAATCTCAATCTCCCTGTACAGAAGACAGCTATATGTGTGTGAATCCTTGGAAAATTTGTGAAATAGATATAAAAGTGTTTTGGAAATTCTCTCACTTTTCACTCTAGCTCTTACTACAGATGACTGGATCCACAGCCAGGCAGTGAATTTGGATTCATTCTCCTAAGACCCTTCAATTCTTTCTACTAAATCCTAATAGGTGCTTGCAGGAAGGTCACACTTCTTAAATTGGAACCTAACCTCACCTGGGTCTTCTATGGTCTCAAAATAAATCATGTAAGAAGCATAGTTTGGGTCAAAACTTTCCTTCTCATGACAAGGAATTTCAAACATTAATAACAACCTATTTATTGAGAATACATCTTCAATATGTTCATTGGAATTTTTGTGGATAATTCAAACACTTTGCTTGAGGAAGGGATGTATTTGCTGCTATAAACCAAGATCTTAATGAATGGTTCCTTTAGAGTTTTTTGTGTGAAATTCTGAGAAGCAAAGACTTAAGATGTTACCTTTTCTCGACAACTTGAAATATATCAAGGATTTTTTGAAAAGTATTTGAGGCCCAAGATTTAATCAATTCTTAATGATGTACTATAGATATTTTTGCATAAGTAGGAATAGGAACATTTGAATACAAAGGGTTAGGGTCACTAAAATGTCATTTCCATTTGCTACCTCACCTTCACTCTTAGCTTCACAATCAAGCTTTCACTTTATAGAATGTGAACTTCATAAAAACTGATGGTACCAAATCTAGAGAACTACATACTCTGGATATGTGTGGAGTGACCCTGAGCCTTGGGAAAGGCAATTGAGGGGGAAGACAAATCATTTTTGTCATGAGGGAATACAGTTTCAGAATATTATAGTTGAAACTGAGAAGCTGGTCTTTTTTCTGAGAAGGGTTGTGTCTCAAATTTAGAAAACCTTTCTAAAGATTTATCTCTCCACTGAAACATGCTTTTTTAGTCTGTTTTGTCTATTACATGATAATTTTAAAAGATTGAATTGCTGATGGCATTATTGACAGCAAATTCGAAAGTGTATACTTACGCAGGACAATATTGGCAAACATAGAAGTATTTTAGAACTTGTTGATTGGGACAATGGGCAATTCCACATCCAACGCTGAAAGAGGAGGCCCAAGCAACCTATATGCAAATAGGTGAAGATACAAAAGTACATTAAAGAAGAAGGAAAGATGAAAAAAAATAGTAGGAAATAAAAAATCTGAATAGAACGTTATTGATGTATTATGTATTCATATATCTTATGGATATATTTAGTTTATTGAATTAAATTAAAGATCTTTAAAAATATTACATTTTCATGTACATTCATTGCTTTATCCATTTAGACTATTAGAAAAATACAGAGTAGATTTCCCTACCAAGAACCTGCAGGCCTTTTACAAATGACAGCTAACAGCTGAAATACCCACAAAATGCGGATTGTCTTTTGCCTACTTGAGATCTTCCCCCAGATTCAACATTGAAATCAGTAAAAATTTAGAGAAGTTTTCTTTTTAGTGCATTTATGACAAAAAAGGTTTTTGTTTGTTTCTCTTACCTGGGTATAATGTCCAACCACTGCATCAGGATGCTTTGGCCCAACACCATAGATAAAATCACGTTCTTCATTGTACCAATTTTGGCTTGCATCTGACCATGAAGCAGGGTAACTTGACATGAAGAGATTCTCACCACAGCTCCTTGTCCCTAAGAAGAAACAAATTATTCATGGGGAAAGCAATAAAACATACAATGGTTACTATATATATCAGAGTCCCTGTTCTTCAAACACAGTGCCATTGTTGCTAGCTGTTGATTAATCCATAGGAGTTCCTTAAAAGCTATAAGTGAATAGAAGACAGATGTGCCAAACACATTAAGGCTGATGTCAACATGCAAAATTTTGAGTTGATGAAGTCCTCTTTAATATCTACTCAGCCTAGAGTCATTCATTTACATATTAAATTGTTCATTAGTATATACCTCATGTGCTCTCTGCTGTGTATTGTAAGCTTTCTGAAAGCAGAAAGCAACTCTTATAATATTCTCTCTTACTCTAATCCACTCTTACCAGAGATTTTTCATATATAGCAACTTGAATAAATGTTTAGAATTATTATTTTGTGTAACCTTTGTAAAAACTTTTATGCTCCATCTTTAAGAGCCTTGAGCATGAAGGAAATGACACCAAGAAGGACAATATTTTTTAAGTTTATGGGTCTCCCTTTAATCAGCAAATCAAAATGTCACAACCTAACTTCTCCTCAAAGACACAGGAAAAAAAATTGCTTTGCAGCCCCAGAACATTTCAATATATTTTTCAAGCTTTAAAATTAATATTTATGTTTGGATGATTTGAAATGTAACGTCTACATGTTACATAAAGGGAATGTACACTACTCTTGGATAGCTTTTTAAAGAGAGAAACAAATAAACTGAGATTCTAACTAGACTGGGATCTTCAAAACAATTTGTTTCAATCTTCTACTGAATATAGTCATCCCTCTTCATAATTTCATTAAATTATAATAACAATGGCAGTCCTACTTTCAAAACAGGAGATTTATTTACTACTTGCAAATTGGGCTTTCCTATATCTGTCACTTTTCAATAATTTAAGTAAATATTTTTTCTAATAGTTTATACTTATAATATTTTATCTTATTGTGTTTATATTCCTTGATGTAGAAGTTATGTCGTATAGATTATTCTAGGTGCATGTATTGTGGGCATACAGAACATACAAAAGACAACTTACTGTCATCAAATATTAAAAACATGCTAAATATTTTTGAGTAAAATTCAGAAACTTTGAAAAATTCAGCATATTTTATACATTGGCTATAAATAGTTTTTAAAACACAAACAGTTCCATAATATGAAAAGGGCGCTGGGTTAGAAGTCAGAAATTCTCATTTTAAATTTTCTATATATGACACTAAGTACCAATCATTTTCCCTTTGACAGTCCATTCCTTACTCTAAAATAGAAAAAAAGATAATACATGACCTGCTTTATGCATAAGATGGTTAATAGCTACAAATGTGATATTGTGTGAGACAATTTTGTAAAATATAAAACACTCAATAAGCACAGGTGGTGCTTTCCAGATTTTTTTCCTCACATGGAGACACTTCATCTTGAAAAAGGCAGCATTACAAGCAATATTTATTCACAAAGATTTCTTAATGCAACATCAAAAAAATAGCCCCTTATTATTTTACTTGTTCACCTACTCAATAAATATTAATTTACATACCAATTGCTCTATCCTTTTGCTGACTGTGTCTCAAAAGGCACTTGTTTGCCCACTTTTGGGCATTTTCTGCTGCCTTGCTGTCCCATTTCTAAAACAAGGAGGGAAAAAAATATATGCATTTAGTGACTCAAACCACAAAGGAGCATAAATAAGGTTTATAATGAGATTGGTAGGTTCATTCACATCATTATAAAATTTCTGTATATGCATATAATATACATGCATTATATATATTATATATATGTATATAATATATAATGCATTATAATCAGACATATTTTTTTTTGATGAACCTATTTCTGCTTGACAAGGAAATATAGATAGTATGGTTACCCTAAGTAATTAAAAAATATTAGATAGTTAATAGTCTATTTATGATAGCACATAGTGGTCCTACTATAATTATTGATAAACATGTAGATAAATGAGATTATTTCTCCTGTAATACTGAGCTGGCATACTTTGTTTCTAGTTCCTTTTGTTTTTTTTTTGTTTTTTCCTACTGAATACATTTGGGAGACATGACTTTCAGTACTGGGTCCAGAAAAATTGGGTTATTTTATCCTAAATGTCCTTGATCCCAAAAGGAAAGAGCCTTCTTGATCCTAGTTTAGGAAAGTAAGTGGAAAAACAATGGCCATTATTGGATGTCAAATATTTGGTTTTAATTCTGCCTCCACAACTTAAATAGCCCTGCAAACTTGATAAGTATATAACCATTATAAAGTGAAATTAAGAATTCCTGCTCTACCCCATGAAGCCAATGAAGCTTAAGTTTTGGGCCCCTCACTTGCATAGGCCCTTCCAAGGTTGTGCTAGGGGACCTCAAAATATGTCTGGCCATTTTTTTTTTAAATTTTATTTTGTAAAAATTGCAGTAATAAGATAGTTTTGTATTCTCTTCCTTAAAGAAGGTTTCTTTAAGCTTCAAGTCAGCAAAACTTAAATTTCCCCTACTAACAACATGTTTCTTAGAAAAGATCTAGAGTATAAGGTGGACTTAGATGGAGTGGACATTAATAATGAAGATTATATTGATGATGATATTGTAGGTCTGACTCTATGGAGACGGACTGGACAGGAGAGCTGCATACAGCCAGAGAATTTATTCAAAAGTTGTTTTGGATCAAAATGAACAGAAAATGCCAGTAGAAAGTGTTTAAAAGTCAATTTATCAGGGTCAGAGGGCACACGCTAACCTCAGGGCCAGGGTTTTAGCCCAGGGCTTATGAAGGAGTTTCAGGGGCTCCATGGGCACCCTGAGATTGTATGCAGTCTCTATATGTGCCTTTTTTTTTCTGGAAACAGAAATTCTAGTCACAGAGTTGGGAAACTCTGAAATGGGCATGATAGTGAATTGATCCTGATAGATTATACTATTCTAGTAAATAGAACATATAATAGTAGGGAGATATACAATTTATAAGCAAAATAGTATATGTAATAAAAAAAAAAGTATTTCTGCCTTGTTGGTAATAAACCTCAATTAAATAACAAAAATAGAACTTCCTAAGTCACAAAGTTCTTAAGAGATCTTATTTACTAGGTGCTTGAACTTATAGCAGCTGGCTCAAGCCACTTTCCTTATGACTGCTTCTTACCATCTTCAGCATGTTACTGGCAGATGGAGAGACTGCCCTCCTTAGGTCATTGTGTTTATTTACAATCTCTCTTTGGATTTCTTTTCGAGTGGTTGACAAAGCATCAACATTTGAAGCCTAAAGGAAAGACAAATTAGAATTATTTTTTTTAAGTTTTGAAAAATGCATATAAATGAATAAGTTAATTCAAGAGAGCAAAGATCATTTAAAAAGTGTACAGTTCAAGCCAGTGTTGTTAAATATTATCAGTAAATCTGAGCCAAAGCTATGACTTTTAAATAGGAAAGAAACAGAGTTAAATTTTGAGAGTAGAGATATAATTTATGGCATGACAATTAACAACACCTCTGAGACCACAAATACCAATTTCTAGTCTTCATGTGATTTTTCTAGATATATGTGTGATAAAATAATGGCAAGTTACAAGATAGAAACCATTAAGACATTCTCATTCATAATCAGGCTGCAGTAAGGAAGTGTTAAGAGTAGGGGCAGGTGACTCATTCTAAACTTTAAGAGGAACTTTGACCTGACAAGGTGTCTGTATTTAGAGAAAAAATGTTTAGGACCAGTCCAAGTGCATTCAACATGAGCAAAAGACTCTACCTATTATGCAGCAGATTTTATGGAGTTGCTCAAGAGACAGTTTTACAACATTAAACAAATCCCTGCGTCAATTTAGAGGTAGCAAATTCATCCAGTTAATGGGTTATTGTTGATTTTGTTTCTTTTAGTAACAGAAATATATTTAAAGTATTAAATCAGATGCTCATCATTATTCACAGTATCCAAGACATGGAAACAATTGAAGTATTCTTCAGTAGGTGATTGGATAAAGAAGAGGAGGTCCATATATACAATGGAATACTACTCAGCTATAAGAAAAGATGAAATACTGCTATTTGTGACAACATGAATGAATCTTGAGATTATCATGCTAAGCAAAATAAGTCAGATGGATAAAAGTCAAGAATCATGATTTCACTCATATATGGGATCTAAAATTGAAAGTAGCAAACGAACAAGACAAAAATTCATAGACTCGGACAACAGTATGGTGGTTACCAGAGGGAAAGGGGTAGGGGTATGTAGAAAAGGGTAAAGTAGATCAAATATATAGTGATAAAAGTAGATGACTTTGAGTGGTGAATACATAATGCAATATACAAATAATGTATTATAGAATTGTACACTTGAAATCTATATACTTTTATTAGCTGTCACCCCAATAAATTTAATAAAATTAAAAAATTTAAATCAAATATATTTTTGGTTTATCTTTGTATATGTATATGGGGGGGGGTTTAAGCCTGGAGGTAGAGTACAGTGTGTGAATTGTTGCATAAAATTTACCCAATTCGATGACCTAAATTTATACAAGAATGTGATGTTATATGAACATGAACAAGATTTTGAAGTGTAAGTCTGAAAGACAGGGCCCTTTACAGATTTTCCTTAACACCTGGAGACAAGTTATTCTTTCCTTTCTGCAATACTGAGTTCTCTTGAAGCTCTCCAAATACTGCAGACATAGGTCTGACCACATTCTATTGCCACTATCTACTTATGAGTCTATTTCTCCCACCTGCTTATATGTTCTTAAGGACAGGGACCAAGAATGAATACGAAGGCACCCACAGATCTGGCACTTTCCCAGCTACTGATTCCTAAGTTAGAAAGAATGCAATGGGTTATTATATTAGTGGTGGCCGATCTCTGTATTACGTTGAAGCATAAAATAACAACCCTGGATATGTCCTAATAACCCTCGAACACCTGCTTAAAATAGTTTCATTTCAAAGCAGCTCAAAATTTGGCCCCTGAGACAGGAAAAGTACTTATTTCCTGCTTCTTACCCCATCTTGCTTTGTAGATAAAAATTCTACTAATGAAGACATGGCTTTGCTTGCTTTATAAAATAAGTATCAATAAAGATTTTATTATGTGACGGGTGAAAAATGTTGAATATAGAGTATTGAAAATAAAAAGTATACAATATGTCATCTATCTATCCTTAAAGAGTTTATATTGGATAAGCAATATGATATAAATAATTATAATACCACATGATACATAAAATGATAGGTAGCATCTACTAGATATAGAGAAAGGATGGATTGACCCTTCTTGATTGGGGTTAGACCATCAAAAAAAGATGTTCTGGATTGGGATTTTGAGAGATGAATAGTGTTTTCCAGGCATCTTGAGAAAGAAGATACAGAAAACACACTGGGAAGAGGGTATGTAAAGCATTTTCTCAGCAAAAATTTAGTAGTGCAAGAGGCAAATGATATCTCTCTTTTTTTAATGATATCTCTTTTTATTAATTTTATAAATGAAAACAGGAGATGGACCAAAGAGGTGTCGGGAGATTGGAAAGGGCCATAAAAGGAAATATTTAGGGAAGAAATTGGGAAGACAACAAATTTCTGGAATGAAGCCCTTAGCGATGAAAAAATCATCTTCGATTAAAAATCTGATTGTAGTAACATAATGACTTTATTTACAAATGTTAAATGATGTTTGCCCTTGTGTCAGAATTCTCTGGTCTAGGGAGTCCTAGCTAATCTTGATGCCCAAAGCTAAAGAAGAACGTGAGAACCTATAGCTCCTTACATTCAGAAGTTTTCTGATTTGAAGAGAGATACTTTCTACAGGTACCTACGAGCCAATTGAAAGAGAACAACTCATTCTGTTTTGAGATTATTAAAGTGAAGCAGCATATCACAAACAATAAGAGCATCTTATCTTATACATAATAATTGTAAAAGTTATGAAAAAATCAAATATTTAATACTTTAGTGAATTTTCTTTTTATACATTAAAAATATAGATTCAATTATCCTCACCCAGTAACTATGAAAATTAAATGTGGTGATATAAGTGAAGAAGTTTTACTAATTTGAGATTATATATTGTTAATTTTGTGGAGGGATCACATTGAAATGGATTAAGTAAAAGGAAATCAGAAAAGATCTTGAAAAAAAGAAAAAAGAAAAGATCTTGTGATAAAAGAAGTTTTGATAGCTTTTAAACTTATAGATGAATACTGTCAATAAAAAAATAAATAAAGCATAATACATAATTTTAATTTTTTGGTGGCCACTTTAAAAAGATAAACATTAAATTAATATTGAAATATATTTTATTTAACATATTCAAAATACATGTTTTCATCATGCGATTCATATTAAAATTATTGAGATATTTTATTTCTTTTTAAGTCTTCTAAGTCTGTTGTGTAATACATTTATGCAGAACTTAATTCCTACCATCCACATTTCCAGTGGTGAGTATCTTCAGGTGACTAAGTGTTACCATACTGGTGGGTCAACAGCCTTAGATTTAATTGTGTTAAGTACCTTGAGTAATCAATGAGTTCTTTGCGATGTACTAGACACTCTAGCCCTTTTTACTTTTGAAAATTGATCTAGTAGCTTGATGTGCCTCAAGATTGATTGAATCATTCTGAAAAGATCTTCAACCTCAACCCTACCTGTCCATTTGCAGGAAAGAATGGAAGCATCACAGGAACCAGAAACAGCAACACCGGGAATAATGCCATTGCTGGGAAAACAAAACAAAAGGGACAAAGACCAGCATTGGAATGTTTAGTGCCTGGACTTTTAAACACAGGGGAAAAAAACCCCAAAATAAAACAATGTAATGAACTCAGATATCTCAAATTCATCAGTAACATAACAAAAGCAGATTTGTTTCAGGGTGCCAGTAGAGTGATAATGGATTCAACCTCAAAAGCAAGACTCCCAGGTAGACGATGAAGAACAAGCAGATGTACTTGACTGGAGCTCTTGAAGTAATACATCTGTAAATGTTAAGGCTACACTACCCAATTCCACCCTAGTTCCACAGCCTTGTCTATGTAGCTCCTCTTTTCACATTCTGGGAGTGGCTTCCTTACACCGACCATTTAGGAGTAGTAATAGATCCTGTTACTGTTACTGGGGTACTACTGTACTAGGCCTTGATGGTTTCCTTAAACTCTGTTTACTTTTACAAATATCCACTAATTAACATCTCTTCAATTTACCAGTTAGCATATACCATTTCTTTCTGCCCAGGCCTCTGGCTTATATATTTGCCCTTCACAGAACCCTAGGCAAATCTACTAAGAAGTTAGTATTTTTTGTTTGTTTGTTTGATTTTAACACTTTCAACTACTTACACTTTCAACTACTCTCTTCAGTTCTGCATATGCAGCCAGTATCATCTTCATTTTCATTCAAACATTTCTTTTTATTACAATGCTTCAAATTTCAAAAAAAGGCAATACTCTCCGATCTAAAAACAGAAAATCGCTTTTAAAGGATTACTAGCACAGTTTTTATTAACACCCTTAATATGTTCATATGCTTTGCTTCATTAATTCAACTTTTTGGAATCCTGAGGGAATAATATATGCTGAAAACCTTTAGGCATAAATTTTATCACAATATTAATAGGGTAAAACATAATTAATTAATGCTTAATTAACAGGGAGATAAAATGTCTAAATAAATTAGAATACATCCTCTTATTGGAGTATATTAGACATAAAATTATGTTTATGATGGTTTTGTAACAAGGAAAATGCTTATGCGTCAAAGTTAAGTTTAAAAGAAAAAAAAGAGAGAATACCATATAGTATATGAGAAATCGTTAACCTTCTGTTACAACTGAAAGTTTGTACCCTCCCCAAATTCATATGTTGAAACCCTAATCCCCAGTGTGTGTGTATTTGTATTTGGGCCTCTAAGGAAGTAATTAAGGTTGAAAGAGGCCATAAAGATGGGCCCTGATCCAATAGGGTTAGTGCTTATATAAGGAGAGATACCAGGGATCCCACCCCCTTTCCCGCACACAGAGAAGAGGCTATGTGGGAACACAGTAAGAAGGTGACTGTTTGCAGATCACGAAGAGAAATTTCACCAGAGACTAACCATACTGGCACTTTGGTCTCAGACTTCTAACCTTCAGACCTGTGAGAAAATACATTTCTGTTGTTTAGGCCACCAAACCTTTGTAGTGGTAGCCCTAGCAGGCTATATACATTCTCATGTTTAATATTTGAGGGTTAGGATATTTTCAAGTGTGCTCTACTGTCCATAACATGTAGTAATTTGAAATCTTCTGGAGCTACATATCTGCATTCCAGTGCGCATGAGTGAGCAAGGCACTGAGATTGCTGGTTACCTCCAACTACTATTCAGCAAATGTATCTGAATGCAGCTCTGCTTTTCTTATAGTTTTATGACAAAAACTCCCTGGCATAGGTATTTGGGATCAATTTTAAGATAAGTTAACAAAAATGTTATTACATAGTGGTATTAATCATCTTGATGTGTAAGGACATCTGGAAAATATGTACATTATAATTCTCCTGGAGGATAGTAACAGAAACAGGTCCTTATCCTCTTCTCCCACAAAATGAATGCTCAGACAAAAAGCCAAGCAAAGAACAAATGAGGTTAGACAGAAATACAAGAGAATGAGTTTATCTTCATGTGTTAAACATTCTTTTCTGTATTTTCTGTAAGTCTACATTACTGTAATTACAATAATTAGGAAAAAGAAAGATCTTTATTCCAAGAGAATTATTAACTCTTGGAAAAGTGCCTCCGACTTTGTCAAACGTGTTACTTTAACCACATTTTTGCAAACAGGTACAGCTAATAGATTAGGCATTATGATGTTCAAGAAAATGGAAAACAGAGGCATGGAGATAGTGATCTCCTGATCGTCTCATTGTTAGTTAGTGCATAGCTGGGACAGAACCCAAGTTTTCATTTAACCTCAGTGTCCATTTCCCAATAAACTGTACTATAATTTTTGGAGACATGGGGTTTTGGGTAGAATGAAAGCATTTAATGAATTTTTTGCCGTGACAAAAATAACACATTGCTATAAATCTTTTTGTGACTGGTAAATAGCTAATAAATTAGTGAACACATTTAAGAAAGTCAGAAAAAATTAATGTACATTATTAACAGATAAGTCAAACCTTTTTTGTTGTCCTTCAAATATAAAATAAAAGTCCTAAGATTTTGAGAATTCAAATATATTTTCTTAGGCTGTCCATCTTGAGTTGAAAGCATATGCCACAATGATAATCTCTATTTATATAAATGTCTTGAAACAATGGGGAGCTTTGTCGACTATTTAATAACGTGTTTTTGTCCATTTAACAACTAGGATGGGAAGGGAGGGAGTTGGAATGGTAATCACAAAGTTGATAGCGTGTTCCTGTAAGGGTTTTATAATGAATACAACTTATACAGATGTTTCTACAATGTTCTGTACAATTAAAATTTCACTCATAGCAATAGGAAAAGATTGGTTTTGTTTATGCTATAGTTTTTAGGTGAAATGGAGGAAGAGGTAAAAGAACGGAAGGGAAATTTGAAACCAGAAAAGGAAAAACATGGAAAGAAAAAATAAACTTATTTCTATATAAAGCAAATATATAAATTTAATATCGAAAGGAGTCATTTTTATTTTGCAGAGGTGCCTGATCCCCTATTGAACAAACATAAACTTTGGCACTTGCATCATGATAAAAGAGAGCAATGTAAGTGTTAAGACGCCTGGGTTTTTCTTGATGTTATTGGTCCTTTTTTACTCAGCTCATCTTTAACTACATGAAATTGAAAATTTACATCTGTCATATTAAAATATGGTGACATAGGGTCACTTCATAGGGTTTTTGTGAGGTTTAAGGAGATTAATAATGTTAAAGAAATTTGATAACATAAAACAACCACCATATACATACAAGTCCTAGCATTAACCTTACTATTGTTATTATCATTTGAGATGCTTGCTCCTTCAGCTGATAGTGAGTGTTTCCAGCAGAAATCTCTCAGCTCCCAGGACCTTCAAGGATTGCCTCTGCTGAAGACAGCCACCTGGCCCAAGGTCATGCTCCCTTCAAATGGCGGCCTCATTTGATGTCTGTCAGATACGGGGTATAAAGGCCTGACCTCTTCACTCCAACTAGAAACATCCCTGAAACATCTTCCCAGTTCCAGAACTACTCTGAAGTAGTTGATTGGCTGAAGCCTCCCCTCCAATGAAACTATATCACAGCTTAATTTCTACCTTTGCCTAATCTTGCTTCCTTCTCCTCCTTTCCAAAGGAATTGATCCCAAGTGCATTCCTTAATAAATTTCCTGTGTCTCAAATTTTCTTAGCATTGCTTGGGGAACACGAATTGTGACATCATTCATTAGATAATCTTTATTCCATAAATGTAATCGAGATAGTCTTTTTATACTTTCATTATCCTTTGATCATATGTTTTTATGCCTTTGATCATGTTAATTCTCAAACCTTGATTCTAATCACATCCTTCAAGAATCTTTCAGTCTCCCTTTCTCCAAAGAAACCCACAAGCTAACTCCAAAAACACTAATCTTATTCCTGGATAGAAGTGTTTAAAGCCCATCCAGTAAACTTTTGATTATATTCAATTTTTCTGATTATGTACAGGATATAATTTCTCTCAGTTTCTTCAGGTACATTTGACTTTTTTCCATAATTAGATTGAGTTTGGAAAAGACAGACTACCATCTCCACATTCTTTTAAATGCCTGATGGCTAAAGATGGTTCACTATATACTTGCTCAGTAGTGGAGCTATAGAAACTTTCAGAGTCTCCAGAGGACACTCTCTTTAGCTAGAATGCCCATCCCCCTAGCAATGGCCTGAAGAGGGCCTCCTGGAGAATTTGAGAGCCACAGAGAAAAACAGATCCTTTTTTTTTTTTTTTTTTTAAGTTAATGTCAGTCAGGTAGAATACCTGATTTTTCCTTTGACAGACATTTGTCAAGTTTTACACAATCCATCCAGGATAGCATGCTAGATATTGTTAAATGTGATCAAGTGAACAAAACATGATTCCCGCCCACCCTCAGAGTCTTATCATTAGGGGAACCCATTATTTAAATATCCAGATTGTGAGTTATTTGGACATTCTCATATATACAAAACTAAAAGGTAAAATTTTATTTTCTTTTGACCTGATTAATTTTGATTCTTTTGAAGAAGGATGGGGAAGAATCTAGCATAGCACAGGCTCTGGAAGTAAATATTACAGCTGAGGTAAATATAATTAAGATCTACTGTAAGTTGGAAGAGAAATGCATTTAGCTCCACTCCACTCCTCTTCCCCAGGGGCCTCCCTAAATAGTAGGTGCCGATACGATACAGTTTATTTTACTTTCATTGAATAGAGTTATACAGAAAGCATGAGAAAGAATTAGGTAAAATAACTGCCTCTTCCTGTCTTTCACTTGCATGAAAACAATTTCCAAATGTGTGTAGTTACACGTTTCCTCTGCTTAATTACCTAGGGACAAACTTGAGATTCTTTTGAAACAATTTCCCTTAAAAATGTTATTTTGTTATGTGCAATTCACCAACTTTCTCCTTTTATATGCTTTTCCACTCTGCTATTTGTAATTCCCCTTTTTCAAAGAGATTAGTAATTTCTCATAAGTGTGAGCAGAGAAAAGCCAAATCCAGGGATTTCAAAGGTTTACAATTTCAGGTATTGATGGTATACTACTATCTAATGACAGCAGAGCAAATTGTGTCTTTCTGAAGCATAAATATATATGCTACAATTAAACTGTATTATAGTGCTCCTTCTTCACATTGATGTTAGGACCACCACTGCATTTGAAATACTCATTTGAAAAATAAAATAAATTATTTTCTCTAAGACATAATATCACTGCTTCTTAATGGATAAAAAACATATAGTTATAAAAATTATACAGGCATACCTTGCCTTAAAAGTCCATTTTGTGAAATAAGGATTTTCAAATTATAAACTAGGGAGAATCTGCTTAGTTGCTAATAAGAGAATTGATAGAAGAGTCCAATTAAAAAGTAAGCTTTTAGTCTTCTATTCCAGTCAGGATGTCAAAAGAGAGAGGCTTCTGATTATCACTCTAATATGAACTCTAAAGAAATGAAAGAAGTGAAATGGAAATATGGCTTCCAGGAAAGTATCAAAAAGATAGTGAGACAAACTGATGAGAATTAAGTCTCTCATGACCTCTAGTATGTATGTATGGATGTGTGTGTGTGTGTGGTGAGTATGAAGTGGAGGAAGGTGTTGCATCCTGAGGCAATGGCTGATCTGATCATGCAGTGACAGTAACAACTTTTAGTTCCTGCTTTTGCTTCCAGACAATCATTGTGTCCCCTTTATTGTAAAATTCTGTACCTATAGAAGGAATCACTTGTTCTGGTGCTATATGTGTTCAAGACAGCATCAAGGAAACATAAAAACCTTCATCAGGTGTGAGGAACTAACAGGAGTAAAGAAATGTGGACTATTCTACATTACTGTTACAGTTATATCTCTATTTCTTCCTACTCCCAAGGATTATATAAGTATAAATTACATGACTACTTACTCTCAAAGGTGTTTCTTCCTAAAATGTAAACTTAGGAGTTTCCATCAGAAGATGGAAATGATTCTGAGATTGATTCCTAAAACAGATGAGGATAATAGTACATAACATAAAGGCCCATTTTATAAATGAAATGTGAAAATCTTAACAAGACATCAATTTACCAATTGCAAAACATCATGATCAAGTAAAGTTTATATCAGGACTGCAAGAATACTTCAAAATTAGAAAATTCATTGGTCAGATTCATCACATGAATTGACTAAAAAAAAGTGGCAAAAAATATTTCACTAAATTTAATCCCTGGTTACAGCTAAGAAGAGAACAGAGGAGAATAGGGGAGATCATTAATTTGATAATGGCAAGATACTAAATATCTATAACAAATATTATAGTTACTAGAGAAACTAGGTGCATTCCATTTGATATTGATAAGAAAAAAATGACAAATTTCACTGTTATTGAAGAGGTCCTGATCAAAGCCATCAGACAAGAAAATAATATATTCATTAGTCTCGGAAGAGGTAAAATCATTGTTATTTTCAAATGATATGGTCATCTATCTAGTGAATATACTATAATCACAGGTTTACTAGATGTAATATCAACCTACAAAAAATACTATTGTCATACATCAGCAACATTCAACTAGAAAAGATTTTTAAAAAGATGCCACCCCTAATAGTAACAAAAACTATAAAGTATTTATGAAATAACTGAGAATAAAAAAATCTTTTTCAGAGAAAACTTTAGAACTCTAGTAAAAAACATAAAAGGAGATCTGCGTAAATTGAGAGATTTTTATGCTCTTAAATGGTGTGCGTTAATATAATAAAGCTATCAATTCAAATTAAACTAATATAAAAATTCTTTAAAATTTAATGAATATCTGATGGGCACATGGATAATTAAGTAAACCTCTTATAAGAAGAACTAATTTGGTATCTTTTTAGTTATTTATAGTTATCTTTTTAGTTATTCAAATTTATGTTTATAAAAATTCGATATTATTGTAAGAACAGACAAATGAACCAAGGGAAGTGAAAAGGAAATTTAAGAGACAGACCAGACAAGGTAGCATAAAAAAGCATTAGAACAGATTATCTAGCATATTGTGTTAGGAAAATTAGCTCACTATATGGAGAAAAGTAAAACCAGGTCCTTTTTAAGCATCACCTATAAATGTGAGTGTAGAAGGATTAAATTTATCAATAGAGAAAATAATTTACATGCAACTTTTCAGGTCCATACCCTTTTCATCTAAGTGAACCACACATAACAATGCCATTATATGGTGATATGGTGTTTTGTGTGAAGCAACAGTATCACTCTTGGCTTATTTAAAACTCATAACAATCTAGGAAGTAGATATTCAATATCCCAGTTTACAGCTAGGCATTCTCGGGATCATAGATTTAGTAATGAGTTGTCATAAACTTCTAAGCAGGAGAACTGGGATATAAGCCCACACTGCTTGGTCTCAAAGTCTTCACTCCTGAAAGGAGGGAAATATTTTAAACAATTATACAGACCTGAAAAGATGCCATTACATGCATTAAGATACTTGTGTGAAATGTGTGCCTTATAGGTATATCAAATTTATATATTAATCACAGCACAGAAAAGTATCTAATCGAATATTTTCGAACTCTAATTATAATATTTAATCTTCATTCTGATCACTTTCTTTCATTTTATCACTTGTCTCTGAGACAGAAAGCAGCCTAGACACTCTACAAAGTTTGGAAATTTTCTAGACTTTATCGTGTAGGAAATCTGTAATGATAATAATTGCTTTGACAATTCTTCAAAAACAATTTTTTTCTTTTCAAGGATGAACTACCTTCTTTTTACTTGATTTCTTAGCAGTATTTGATTTAAACACTGCTTGAAATTTCTGACACGCTTCTTCTCAGTTTATCTCTTACAAATCTGTGCTCAATTCAGAGGCCCCAGTTGACCTTACAACATATCATTATAGAGTAGCTGCTGGGCTTGAAACTTGTCATCAGTTTAATTTCCTTTGATTCTCCTCCAGAGAGTTAGTCATATAGGCAGATGTTGGCTTAGCTTTAACTAGGGGAAGAGGCAACACCAGATTTCTCTGACAATAGAATAAGGCTTCTCTAAGCTCCCTGGCTGACATTCAACCGCTGAGAAGAAAAGCATTAATAAAATATTCTGAAAGTAAAATCTTTCCTCTACAAGGTAAATAATAACTACTTACATGTTGTTGTTAGGTAGCTCCAAGGTCTTTTACTATTTATTTATCCAGAGTCATTCTTTATTTGCCAAGGACAAATATAAAATTCTATGTAGAAATTGCTTCCAAATAAAAATATACACAACATATATTATATTTAAATTATTTATATAAATGTAGCTGCCTAGGTAGATTGACTTTTTATTGAAAATCTTCTAAAAGTCTCTCTCTTTCTCTCTCTTTGATTTGAGTGCATTTCATAGACTCAAATCTTACATCGGTACTCCTTAATAGAATATTTTTTATCTCAAGGTCAGTACTATAATTTTGTTTTGATTAATTTAAAACTGTTAGCAATAGCTTCCCATTCTTATTTTGATAATATCTGTGTTAACACATGTCCATATATGTGAATATTAGTAAAGATATTAATATATGAAAATACACACACATATAAGCATAGTTTTTCATTTTTCTATTAAAGGAAGTTTTGATATAATGATCAAAAGTCATAGACATGAAAATGAATTATATTGCTTGTTTAAGAATAAAAGGTAAGAAATTGATTTAAATATTAAATTTGATAAAAGTGTTTTGGGAATAATAGAGCATATATTACTTTCTTAGCTTAAGGAGAATATAATAACTTAAGGTAACTACTAGCAATAAAAGTTATCAATAGACTTCTGAAAATCATAGATTCATTTACTGTGTCTCGTTTTACCACTGACAAGGCATAAGTATATTGGCATAATAAAATGTTCACCTTAAAATAAAGGAGTTATCACTTACTGTTGGTTCTCAGAGCAAGGTAAAGTATCTGCTTTACCTGTAGGAAGAAGGAAAGTAAAGAGAGAAGGTTAGAGAGGTATATGTACATTACGCCTGTTTCCTGTCTTTGGCAAATACCGTTGTGCAAGGAAATCTAAGTCAACAAGGTCTGAAACAGGATTTGTCATACCAATAGTTTCAAATTTCATAGCTGGTTGTCTAACTACAGGTTTGGCTGTACATTGTGATTCTCTTCATGGCTTTTAAAAATAAATTGCTAATTCAAATTTAGCTATTGTACATTTACTCTTTGGAGCTCATATACTGTTACCATGTATCCACACTTTAGCCAATCACTACTTTGACAATTCTTAACCAAATTAACCTTTTCCTATCTGTTTAAATTAAATTTATTGGGTGACACTAGTTAATAAAATTAAATAGATTTCAAGTGTACAATTTGACAATACATCATATGTGTATTGCGTTGTGTGTTCACCACCCAAAGTCGAATTACCTTCCATTAACATATATTTGACTCCCTTTACCCTTATCTACTTCCCTTTCCCCCACTTCCCTCTGATAACCACTAAACTGTTAACCCTGTCCATGAGTCTCTGTTTGTCTTGTTCGTTTGTTGCTTTCAGTTTTATATCGCATATATGAGTGAAATTGTATGGTTCTCAATGTTTTTCAGTCTGATTTATTTCACTTAGCATGATACTCTTATAATCCATTCACGTGTTACAAATGGCAGTATTTCATCTTTTCTTATGGCTGAGTAATAGTCCATTGTATATATGTACAACTTTATCCAATCATCTATTGAAGGACATTTCCGTGAAGGTTGTTTCCATGTCTTGGACACCATGAATAATGCTGCTATGAACATCAGGGTGCATATATTTTTACTGATAAATATTTTTAAATTTGGGAGTAGATACCTGGAAGAAGGATTGCTGGGTCATATGGTAATTCTGTTCTTAATTTTTGTGGAAACTCTATAGTATGAGGGTTCCTTTTTCTCCGCATCCTCTCCAATACTTGTTATTACTAGTCCTGTTGATAACAGCTGTTCTAACAGGTATGAGATGGTATCTCATTATGGTTTTGATTTGCATTTTCCTAATACAGCGATATTGAGCATCTTTTCATATGTCTGTTGGCCATTTGTATGTCTTCTTGTGAGAAGTGTCTGTTCAGGTCCTCTGCCCATTTTTTAATTAGATTTTTGTTGTTGTTGTTGAGTTGTATGAGTTTTTTGTATATTTTGGATATTAGCCCTTTATCAGAGGCATTGTTTGCAAATATCTTCTCCCATTTATTTGGTTGCCTCTTTGTCTTGTTAATGGTTTCTCCTGTTGTGTAGAAGATTTTTAGTATGATATAGTCCCATTCATTTATTTTTGCTTTTACTTTCTTTGCCTTTGAGGTCAAATTCATAAAATCCTCCCCAAATTCAAGGTCCATGAGTTTAGTACCTATGTTTCTCCTACGCGATTTATTGTTTCAGGTTTTATATTTAGATCTTTGATCCATTTTGAGTTAATTTTGTTATATAGTGACAGATAGCAGTCTAGTTCCATTCTTTTGTGTGTGGCTTTCCAGTTTTCCCAGCACCATTTATTGAAGAGGCTTACCTTTTTCCATTATATGTTTTTGGCTCTTTTGTCAAAAATTATTTGTCCATACATATGGGGGTTTATTTCTGAACTCTCCATTCTGTTTCATTGGTCTGTGTGTCTGTTTTTCTGCCAATATCATGCTGTTTTGATTATCATCACTTTGTAATATAATTGCAAGTCAGGCAGAGTGATAGCTCTGGCTTCGTTCTTTTTCCTCAGGATTGCTTTGGCTATGTACGGTCTTTTTTACTTCCATGAAAATCTGATGATTTTTTTTTGGTTACATTTCTTTAAAAAATGCTACTTGGATTTTGATGGAGATTGCATTAAATCTGTATATCGCATTGGATAATAAGGTTATTTTAACTACGTGGATTCTTCCAGTCCATGAACACAAAATATCTTTTCATTTCTTTGTGTCTCCTTCAATTTCTTTTAATAATGTCTTATAGTTTTCAGTGTATAGGTCCTTCACATGCTTCATGAAGTTTATTCCTAGGTAGTTTATCCTTTTTGTTGCAATTGCAAAATAAATTTATTTTTCATTTTTTTTCTGAAAATTCATTGTTAGTGTATAGGAATGCTATGGATTTTTGTATGTTGATTTTGTACTCAAACTGTACTGTCTTTGTTTATTATTTCTAATAGGTTTTAATGGAGTCTTTAGGGTTTTCTATACAGAGTCATGTCATCTGAAAAAAGTGACAATTTGACTTCTTTCCCAATTTGGATGCCTTTTATTTCTTTCTCTTGCCCAATTGTTCTAGCAAGGACTTCCAACACTATATTGAATAAGAGTGGTGATAGCAAACAGCCTTGTCTTTTTTCTGACCTTGGAGGGAAGGTTTTTAGTTTCTCACCATTAAGTATGATATTAGCTTAGGGTTTGTTCTATATGGCCTTTATCATGTTTAGATATTTTTCTTTTATACCCATTTTATTAAGCGTTTGAATCATAGATGAATGCTGTAACCAAATTATTCTCATTACGACATTCGTGTTTTCAAGATTATTTCTGTATGAATGAAGCTAAGCTTATCATTTTCTTGAACTATAGAGAATACAATATGTTCTTACAGCTATCTAAAATATTCATTAGTAAACTGTTGGACCTTATTGTTTTTGAGAATAATTTCATACTTTATCTTTATAAATGCAAGGTCACTGTGCCTTTTGAACTGTAATGGTAAAAGACCCCATAACTTGGTTGTATTTCTAAGTTTTAAATTCTCTCAGTAGTAAAATTTATTTTCTAGTTGTATGGAATTCAGCATAACATTGATCTACATTACATAGTAAATTATCATCATTTAATTCTGTTCATCTATAGAAGGCTTTATGTAATCCTTGTGGGCTCGTTTTCATACCTCAAAAATAAAGGAAGGTGAGACATAAGAAGAGATGAAATACTATCATTTGCAACAACATGGATGGAACTCGAGATAATCATGCTAAGTGAAATAAGCCAGCCAGAAAAAGTTGAAAATTACATGATATCACCTATATGTAGGATATAAACCCTCATGGACATGGACAATAGACTAGTGGTTACCAGAGGGTAGGGAGAGCGGGGAGGGCAGATGTAAATGAGGTAAAAAGGATCAAAAATGTGGTGACAGAAAGAAATCTAACTATCGGAGGTGAACACACAATGTAAATATATATATGCCTTACTGTTAAAATGTACAGCTGAAATTTATTGAATTTCATTAACCAATGTCACCATAAAAAATAAATTAATTAAAAAAAACCCTGCTAAACATAAAAAAATAAATAAAATAAAATAAAATAAAATAAAAGGGGATGGACTACCAATATCAAGTTCTCTTTACCTCTAAAAAGTAATGATTTTAAATACTGAGTTTGTATAAATGAAGGGTTATAAATTAATAAATCACAATTAGTACATACATAGCATTAGCAGGCATTTCTGGGTACTCATGTTAGCATGTATATTGCACTATGTGGTGCACATTTCAAATAATTGCTAGGGCAAAAATGTGCTAAAACAGACCAGTGCCTATGATGTGATATCAACAAAATATCATTTAATGATAGTTAATTAATAAGTTAAATAGTTGAATATTACTCTAAAAGTTCTTTATGATAGTTTAAAACTCAGGATAGATTTTACCATAACATTTTAAAAAGAGTGCTAACCATTCAGCTGCCATGTCTCCAGTTAATCCCTAAAATGTATTTTACCCCATGATATGTGATATGTGACTTCTCAATACGCCGAATTAACCGCTAGGATAAAATCACCTTGGAATCATCATCTATGCAACCATTTTTTCTATGGGAGGATGTGTTTCATGGGCAAAAGCAGATCCAGAAATGCCCACAGCTCATGCTACTCTCTATTTAATGATATAATACTCTTAAAAGCTTGAGATTCGTGATATGATGGGCACAAATTAAATTTCTGTACCAAGGTATATTGGGAAATTATTTTTCTGTCCACAAGTTCTTACCTCTATAAATGGTAATAATATTATTTTATTTAATTGTGATAAAATGGGGTAATATATATAAGTTGCCTAGCATGTAGTAAGAATTTCTAAAGTGTTAGTTCCCTCCTATTTTATACACTTGTTTTCCTTTGTTTCTAGAAAAATTTCTCTCATACACTTGTAAGCTATGGGATTGCACTTGAATTTTATGACAGATGGTATGACTAAGTGTGAGAAATTACCATAAGAGAAGCGGATAGAAAAGTGTATAAAAGAGGAAAATATCTTTTTTGACTTATTATTACCACTTAGTATATGTTCTCTAATTTTATATCCACAGTTATGACTAAATGATCATTATGTGCACCATAATGCTCAATGCTCTAGATCAAAGTTTTAAAATCTGAGCACTGAATCATCAGTAAAAATAATAAACTCTTAGGAATTAAGGCATCTAAGGTCAATACCCAAACTAGGTCATAAATTCTGACAAATGAAAATGAATTTGATCTTCCCTCTGTAAATTTTGACATGTGTGATGGAACTGTGCCCAAATATCTGGGTATGAATATAGCTATCACTAGAATTAGTTTTGCAACAATTGATTAAGTATGTGGAAATTAATATTATGCACTCTATTATCTTTAAATATCTAGGATAATTATAATTGTGTACACAAATTATGAGTAGAGATTAAAATCCTTATTGTTGTTGAAAACAATGAAGAAGGAAGATAAATCTTTTGTTACTTGAGGAGCAAGTTTACAAGTTGAGACTCTTTTAAATAGTTAAAAGATGAGTGGCATAATTTTAATGATGACATATTTTACCTTTGACAAATAAACAGAGTAGTATTTACTCATAAAGAAAGCAAGAAAAAATTAGAAATTATAGATAAATAATTTGAAATTTAACTTCTTGGTGATGTTTTTCTAGGAATCTTGGCAATATTTTTTCAATAAACTTGACTATATCTATAT